GTCCCATATATTTTCAATACACATATTGTGTTGATCTGTTAGAGCTTCAAGTACTACATTGAAATTAATTTTCTTAAATGACCTGTACAGATAAACTTATTTAAAATAAAAATATGTGGGATGCATTTCTAGAGGAATTTTTCAAAGTTATAAGTTAAGAACAGTTTCTGAAAATTCATTCATCAATACAAATTTAGAAAAAAAAATATTTATGAAAAATGAGGACTTCACATATATTTCTTTCTTTCTAATGTGTTTTTTGATATTATATTTGAACTATTATTTGATATATTGCTTAGTCGAAACTTTCAAATTATACATATAGAATCCTATAAATATTACTGAAGCTTAAAAACAAACTTGAACTTTGAACAAAATCCTGTACTAATAATTATCTATATATGACAATGTATGTTAAAAAAAAACATGTATTTGAGTGTAATTGCTGAAATGAAGATTTATTTTATATAAACTTAATCGTGTGACAAATAAACGTGACATATACACACCTGTAGTTACAGAGAAGGAGTGCTTAATGGTATTACTTGTTGCTGAAATACTAAATGAGTGAAATTATTCATACGTAACTGTCATAGCAGCAAGTAAAATTATTTATTTATCAAACTCTATACTAATATGATTTATATTGTTTAAAAATTTTAGCGAAAAATAGAATATATATTTAATTGTAAAAATAAAGTGGCCATGATTCTGTAAGAAAGCACTTTTCAATATTAATAAGAAAAATGTACAATTGCTGTGTATTGAATGGAAAAGCATAGGGAAAAAAGTATGATGAAAAATATAGATTTATAAGTACATGCATATACAAACATATGTGTATTCTTGTAGTACATATATGTATTATCATTGTCACAAATTATTTTTCCTTAACACAGCAAATATTGTGCAAATATGCAATGTTTAAGTTTGTTATAACATGGTTCCACTTTAAACAAAAAGTAAATAAGTTTTGTTGATAAAATAGATTTTTCATATAGTACATTAACAAAAGTGATAACGTATTTGTTTTCTATATAAATACGCGTGTATGCGCGCGTTGATATAATTTTACATATTATTTAAAAAATTATTAAAATTTATATACAAATATTATATATAGACACATTATTCTAAAAAAATTTATCATAACACAATAAATAAATTGAAATACAAAATATTGGAATATCACGTACATAGATATTATACATAATAGAAAACAAAAATAACGTGCAAGTAGAAATTGTTTTTTAAAATTGTAACTTAAAACTTCTTTCAGGTCCATTTAAAAATATAATTATATTGAATACAAAAAAGGCATAATTATCAAGGTATTTTAATTAGTATATAACTGAAATAAAACAAAAAAATATAAAAAATTAATTTTAATGAGCTAATTAAATTCATTTCTATTAAGCAATAATTGAATATATGAAATAAATTAGTTGTAATATTGTAATTAAAAAAAATAATATTGATTGATAGTAATGCAAATAATTTATATAATAATTTATATAATAATTCCAATAAAATATTAATTACCAATGCGTGAATAAACCTTGATTGTTAAATAGAAATACACAATTTTAAACAAAAAAGCACGAAAATAATATCACTATATAATTGAAAAATAAAGAATTAATTTTTATTATTAATTTTTATTCAAAATTGGTAAGCAACGAATAATAATGATGCAAATATTTCAATGCTGATAATTGATATAGCAAGAAAATTAGAATTTTAAATAAAAATACGAATAAATTATAAATAATAAATCTTTTTTATGTAATACTATAAGGAAAAAAGTTTAAACATGTGTGTTTGTATAAACGTAAAAATATATTTTCAAATTTTTTTAATTTGAATGGTAATTTATACGACTAAACTTCATTTTACAAGTGAATTTATGTCTATATTTAGTTGCAATAATAAATGTACAAAGTTATTAAAAATTAATGAAAATAACGTGAAATATATTGTATGTATAAGTAAAACAATATTGTAATTCACATAATCTAATATTTTTTAAATGTATAATTAAAAATTTTCGTGTATTTAATTTCTTAATGTATCAATTTTTTAAATAATTTTTATCTGTAAAAATATTATACATGTATATAAATACATATTTCACACAAAATTCATATATGCTTATGTTTATGTTCTTTATGAATTATTACAAAACATAATTTCTCTGAACATTTTTTTTCTTTTCTTACAAAATTTATAGAAAAATGCAATACAGAAAATTATATCATGATGGATTAATATTATTAATATTCTTCAAAACCAGGAATAGAAAATTGCCTAGAAAATGTTTCAACTTCTTCTCTTAAAGCTGTAACTTTTGCTTTTATATTGGCATCAATACTTAATATTCTTTTATAGTCGACAAGCTTAGGACCGGAAATGTTAGACACTTCCTTACCAAGTAATAGACCTAAAAATAATTAGAAACAAAGAATATTGTTTTGTACATTTGTTATATTAGTTTTCAATTTTCTTCTAATATATTATTTTAAAATACCTCTATGTATAAAATCGACAACTTTATCAATATCTTTTTCAACTAAACCACGAGTGGTTAATGCAGGCGTACCAAGTCTAATACCACTGCAATTTAATGCACTTTTATCACCAGGCACTGTATTTTTATTGCAAGCTATGGAAATACTCTCCAAAATCTTCTCTGCTTTAGCTCCTGTAATGCCTTTATTTCGTAAATCTATAAGTAACATATGAACATCAGTTCCATCTGTACTGATTTTATAACCATGCTCCTGAAGTTTTGAACATAATCTCTTTGCATTAGCTACAATTTGTTTCTGATATTGAAGAAATTCTAGTGATTTAACTTGTTTCATTGCTGTAGCTATGCCTGCGATTGCATGATTGTGAGGTCCACCTTGTAGTCCCGGAAATACAGCTTGATTAATTTTATCTTCTATATCATACATAATTTTTTTACTATCTTTCCCAATTTTTCTAACTCCTTTACGAAAGAATATAACACCAGCACGAGGTCCTCTAAAAATAATAAACAAAGGAATATTATTCAATAAGAAAATGAGAAGCTATTTACTAATAATTACCTTAAAGTCTTGTGAGTTGTAGTAGACACAACATCGCTATATTCAAATGGGCTAGGAATTAATTTAGCTGCAACTAATCCTGATACATGAGCCATATCACTAAACAAATAAGCATTATTTTCATCTGCTATTTGCCTAAATCGCTTGTAGTCTAAACATCTACTATAACAAGATACACCTGCTATTATAATTTTGGGTTTAAATAAACTTGCTTCCTCAGCTAATTTATCATAATCAATTAAACCAGTATCAAGATCAACTTTGTATGGCATTGATTCAAAAAATATTGATGTCGCAGAAACTTTTTTAGTTGCAGTAAAAAACCCTGAAAAAATTTCAATAGAACACTTTAACATCTTTAGTATCAGAGCTTATAATATTTTAATAAATTTAGATTAAATTTTTACATAATACCATGTGTAAGATGTCCTCCATCAGGAAGGTCCAAACCCATTATACGGCCATGAGGCTCAATTAAACCTGTATAGACAGCAAAATTAGCTGGACTTCCTGAATATGGTTGTACATTGCAGCCCCATTCTTCAGAATTTAGATCAAATGCTTCCAAAGCACGTTTTTGTGCTAACAGTTCAATTTCATCGATGTATTCATTTCCTCCATAATATCTAAAAACAATTCATTGTTAAACATATAAATAACTTAAAAAATAATAATTGTAAGTTACAAGAAACTTACAACTTACTAAAATGAAAATAAAAGGAAAATAAAAATAAATACAAAAAATAAAATAAGGAAAATAAACAAAAATCAGAATGCAAAATAAAGATAGAATACAAAATAAAAATAACCTAGAATAAAATACAAAATAAAAAGAAAATAAATTAAAACGTAAAATAAAAGAAAAAGAAATAATCAGAAAATAAAAAGAAAATAAAAATGAAAAAGAAACACACCTTTGACCTGGAAGACCTTCACTATATTTATTATGAAGACAAGAACCCAAGCATTGAAGAACGCTAAGAGATGTAAAATTTTCACTAGCAATCATTTCAAGACCAGATTCTTGCCTCCTTTTTTCCTTTTTCATTAATTTAAAGAGTTCCGGGTCTGTCTCCCAGACATTTTTATAAATTGTTTCAAGCATGTGCTATGTAAATAAAAATAATTTAAATATTTTACTTTAACTTTACTTTACTTCATATGATAAAAATAATTCGTTAAAGTAGTGCCATATTATTTTCTAAATATATACTTGTTTATTTCCTAAGTCTGCGGGGGACATTGCAAAACGTCTCTTTACTATTCTATTTATTATTCTGATAAAGTTCAAAGAGTTATTACTGATAACCTCAAGCATGGTGTAACACAATAAGACTTTAAAACTCTGATTATTACTCCTCACTAATCGCTTGTTTACTTATATTTATTATTTCTGTTACTTATGAATATATTTTAATTAATTTCTTTTTTAAATTTAATTGAATAAATGTAAGACAGAACTACGTCTTAGAAGCATTAGACAAATATAAAAATTTTTCAAAGAAATTAAAATATAAACATTGTAGCATTGTAAAACATATGCATTGTAATTACATTCATGATATAAATATATAAAAAACTGAAATATAAATACATTATACATTAAAAATTTAAATAAATATATAATTTATTTAATTATTATGTAAATCAACTAATAGTAAAACTAAATATAATATACAGCGATATGGAAACTGCGTAAAACATTATTACTTGCAAAAAAGAAACACTGTTGCTATTGATTATGAAAGAAACATTTAATTGTAATGGATAATTACTCACGGGCTTCGATGTGCAACAAGTGGTTGAAAAATACACGTTAAAATTTGAATCTTGGAAGACTTCTGCTACATATCCTTGATTCACACGATCTTTTATATACTGCATGCGACTGATTAGGTTTTCAACCAATCGAAAACCGCAACGATTTAAATTCAGCCAATTCGCAATCATAACAAATTGTTTCTTAAATCAAATACGATATGATGATACATGAAATATACAAGATCATTTGAAATTTTTCAAATCTCTTATATTTATTAACCAACGCATCCGGTAAAAAATTTCATCTAGTTATAATCTCTAACCTAAAACTTCTCAAGGCGGTATCATTGATATGCATTATATGTACGCGCGTAATTTTCAAGTGTACTCATTTTGTTAAATTATTATTAAAATCAATTCAAATAGTTTGTAATGTTCAAAATATTTAAAGACTGTTAGTTTATGTAATAATATAAAGTTATTCTTTGACCAATTACGTAAGTTTCGAACAAATATAATTTCATTACACGATCTTACAGGATACTTATTTTTTAAAAAATGATTCTTGTTAAATAAAAACTTATTTAAGTTATTATATTGAGCTATTTTAATTTAACAGCTGCTTTAAATAATTAAAAAAATTTTAAATCGAGACCTTATTTTAGAAAGGATGTAGTAGATTTAGATACTTCCTTGCGTTGTCACTTTAATTGAAATATTTCCGATGATTTAACTTTATAATTTCACTCTGTACAACTCCACTCTATAATTATCTAATTGGAAATGCTTCACTACATCACAATGCAAAATCAGTATTTTAAATCGCTGTATAATTTAGATGAGAATTAATAATAACAGATTTTGTAATATTACTGTGCGTAGCAATATTACTTTGAAAGTAGTTCACTATCGACGTACTTTCTTCGAATACATGCGTCTATAGCGCATATATAGCATTTCTTAGCGGCCAGTCCACTCTACACTTTTATCAAGACCTTTTAAACTTTTTTTCTTTATCGTGTTGCAAAAATTTTAAATATTTCCGCTTATATTTGACTTATTTCAACTAATTCTCAATGAAAATTAACATTGCAACAACTATTACAAAATGTCTAAAACACGAAGATTTCTGATGAATGATCGCACAACTAAAGGCAAAAATTTAAAAATTTAACAATTTATTTAAAGATTATAATACACTTGTATATGTACTTTATAATAATTGTTTGTTAATTATAAGTTCGTTTTTTTACAACACAGTTAATTTCTTGTTATAACATACAAATTACATCAATCCTATACACACACACAATATCTTTCTTTGCTTTTTTTTTTATCTTCTAATTTATAATTATTCAACATCCCAAAAGACATCTAATAATTTAAGAAAAATTAAATTTCACTGTAGATAAAACTGATATATCATTATCTGCTAAGTAAATATCTGTATTTAATAATTATGTTTCGATTTGATAATGTTTTTTTTCCCATTCCCCCGAAGTAACACAACATACCATTAATTGATAAATGAGATTTAGAGATGAATAAAATATGTTTTTTCTTCTTTCTTTTTATTTTACTATTAGAACAATTAAAAATAAAAATAATAATGGTACAGTAAATATAAGAAATATCAAAAGAAATATAATGTAATTATATAAAATTATTTTATATAATTGCGTATATATAATTTTTTTAAAATTTGTATATTTTATTTTATATTTAAAAAAGTTTGTATTTGAATTTGTTTATATGTATTATTTACATACAAAAACAAAATTAAATCATGAAATCATGATGAATATTTGCAAGTCTTAACACTTAATTTTTTCATTCAAACATATAATAATTAAATACTTGCCCTGTTAATAATGCGTCTTAACATAATATCTAACAATTTGCAATAAAACATAATGATGTACGACAGGGAAAAACAGAATATGAGGAAATAACTTATCAAACAGATTTGTTTGTAAACTAACGAGAAATGAGAAATTCCTAAAAGATTACAAATATGTAATAGTATAACATATGATATGTATGTTAACATAATGATGTTTAATCTTATAATCTCATTATATACTAATATAATGTTACAGTATATATTATTATGCTTAAAAAAAAAGTTATGCCTAACTTTAAATAATAAATTTGCATTAAATAATAATATACAGTATTAAGAAAATTATTAAATTGTGAATATAGGTTATATTTACCATTTTTAAAATGAAAATAATCATTTAATCAAATGATTATCAAATAATCATTCAACGTTAAGTTAAAAGTTGAACTATTTCTTTCTAAAAATAAAAAAATTAAATGTAAAACATGCAAACGAATAATCGAGCAAAAATTTTACTTTATAAATGTTTTTGAAATAATTGTTTTAGAATGTTATTTAAATATTTATTTAATAGTTTAAGAAAATATTTAGCGCTTTGCATACTAACCTATTCGTAAATCTGATTAACTTTAAGACGAAAATATGTACAATATTTATATGTAAACTTTTTCTTTGTAACGTATGCTATTATTTTCAGTTTGATGTAATTATAGAATTTTACATAAATTAACTTCTTACTAATGCTAAAGTTCTAATATTAAATACTAAATAAAATAATTTTAAAATAAACGTATTAAAAAAACGTATTAAAAAGAAAAAAATACTGAAACATACGACATTGAAATCATGTCAAATAAGATAATTAATTAAAATCATAAAATGTTTATTTCGTTTTATTTATTATCTTGTTTATGCATTTTGTCTCGTTTATTATATATTTTGCTTTTCACTTGTTTAGAAAAAAATTAGTGAAAAATTATCGATGAAATTTACAATCGCAATTGAGCAGCTGCTATAATATTAGCTGTACAAAACAGAAATGCATTACAATTAATTACAAGCATTATATTATATATCAGAAGTGCTTCTTTTCGCGAATTGTTTATTACATATAAGTCTGGTATTTTTTTTTTGTTGTTTTTTATTATAATACAATAATCTAAATAATTCTCTTTTCTAATCATATGATGTAGTGCAAAAAATACATAGACATATTAACATTGTTACAAATAGTGTTCGTTACTACTTTCAACTTCAAAATCATCGTTATTGTTAGTATTCATTGAGGAACATAACAATAAAATGTATACAACTAATATACATATATAATTGATATATATATATTATGTGTGTGTATATGAATAAACATGTAATTCATATTTTCATAGCTTCCAAATGAATACATATACTATACTTCTTTTGATCAAAATCCTTACTTCACTTTTAAAAAATCATAAATATTAGCTTTATAAAAAATTAAAGATTAGATTTTTGAATATAATTTAATTAAAACGAAAAACGTAAAAATTATAAATTCTCCCGATATTTCATAAGTAGTACTTGGTGTCTTATTTTTGCATAATTTAATTTTATGAATTAAAAAAAAAAAAAAACAAAGAAAAACGAAAGAAGAAAAGAATGCTTATTTCTAATTATATAATGAGTTATATTATTTAAGAATTTCTTAATCTATATTTTTTAGCAGAACATATATTAAAATTATTCTCAAGAACAAAGCGATTGTAAATTGAATGTTTACAACGAAATATTTGAAAGCATATACATGGTTAAAATTACGGCTGTAATTAGTCAAACTAGCTGTACATGTGTAGGTTTACAAAATATTGCAATCTTCATAACTAGCATGTCCAGTCTTCGTAAATATTACTGCACATCGCATAAATTTCTTATATATTACCGAGTCATAATTATTTGTCGATGTTGAAATGCACTCTAGAAAACGTGACATGAATAATACATTACTCATTGTAAGATCTACATTTGACGTATTTCTTTAAATTATATACTTAATATAAATTGTCATTCCAATTGAGTTACAGCAATTTATTATCCTAATAGACTAACAGCTAATTAGCTTGAATTAAAATCATTAACTTGACTTATTTCAAGAGTTTTTATTTTAAATTTTAAAACTCTGTTTTTTTTCTTTTGTATTTTAATAATTGCAACAAACTAATTCCTTAGAAAAGAATTTATTTATTAAATAAATCGAATAAATTGCTCCATCTTTCTTTAACATTTAATAATATTTTTAGATATTGTGGAGCCATGGATTTAAACGTTTCGAAGAAAGACTTTAATCACAGTTAAGGAGAAAATGTTGAATAAAAGATGATTCATAAATAATAGGAAATCATGTAATAATATCGTGGCAAGTTATCGTGCAAAGAGTGTATGCAGAGAATAAAAAATAAAAGGACAAAACTATGAAATAACATTTAATAAGACGAAAAAAGACTCAATGAAATTGTCAAATGGCCTTTTCTTTTAAACAATTTTTATCTTCCAATAGATTCCACATAGTTCTGTTTATAGCGCAATGAATTCAACATTCGCCATATTAACGCATTCTTTCCAATTTTTTTTTTTTGTTATTATAATTGAAACTACTTCATTAATATGTTAAACTACTGTTACATATTTGCAAAATTTCATAGAATCTCAGTAAAATATATAGAAAAAGACGCATAAAACACACACACAAAAAAAAAATATTCAAACATAAAAAGTTCCAGGGTGTTTGGAAGGCAAATTAAAAATTTTACTTAAAGATTATCTTGCAAATATTTTATAATCATTTTTGTTATGCAACAGTATCCATGCTATTTAATTACATTTTTCTTCAATTAAAATACAGCAATTACATTTTCGATAAGGATGCATGTCATAAGAAGTGAATCTGCAAATAGAATGTTAATGTCTTATTATTTTGCAAAGGAATATGGAGAAACTAAGATTACAAAAGGTGATTGTAAGTCTGCGTTTCAAACATCCTGAATATAATACAAAAACAGGAATATGTAGACAATTCTTTTCTGATAATGGGCGTTAAGTATTACACATCACGTAGAACAGTACATAGTGTTTCTTTGGGCTTTGTTATATTCAGTTACAAAGATTTTACGTGGCAAGATCAAACAATCAAGATTTTAGGAAAAATTATAATTTGCTAAAAGTATAGACTATATTCGTAAATACCTTCCTATTTACTGACAAGAATTTTCTCAAGATTTTGCAATTACAATTCCTTTACTTGATAATAAAATATGCATTTAAATAAATTGTTGCTCTTGACAAATTCAAAAGCAATGCTACTGCTTTCAAAAATATTTGTTAAATAACAATCATCAAGTGACAAAATATTTACAAATTTCATAGATAGAAGTATTTAATCAAGGAGTATTTAATTTAAGTTGTTGCAATATAGTGAAATCAATCACTAATACATACCATCGATCCAGCCATTACGTAAAATCCCTGTCGATTTGAAAGAGAAAACTTCCATGATGCATAAAGTATCATTGCATGTTCGTTACAGTCTGTTAATCCTTCGTATACAAAGCGTAGATTTATCTTTCGTTAACATGATCATAATATTAAAACCGCGCACTATCTGGTTGAAGAACCGAATACATAAACGCATTTCCAACCATCGTGTATCGCTTTCTTATAGAGTCGTATAAATTATATGAGTGACTGCCTAATTTTATTCTTCTTCATATGATGAAAATTTAATTGTAAATTTTAATGGCCTTTTCGAGGTAGTTGATACGAGAGCGCTTTGGCGCTTTGTTGACGTGTTCTAGGCCAAGCCAAGGCCTAAGTGGCGATGTGCCTGCGTTTAAAAGTGGATAAACTACAAAATTTATTTTTCATCGATGTCAATTTAATTCTTACTGTTATTAATTCTAATATGTCTTATTCTATAAATATAAGTATCTCTTTTTTTTAATAATATTATTAATTCTAATATTTTGTACCACAATTTTGACATTTATATTTATACGTATATGTATACGTGTGTAACTATATTTATATATTTTTATTTTAATTATATTTTTTTTATTTGAACACTTACTTTGATTTGGATGCATACGGAAATCCGCAAGATCCATGCAATATTCTGGTGAGTCCATAATGAAGTGTGGTTTACCCATCGTCACCACCGCGAACTTAAACTTCAAAGTTTTTTTATGAATTCTCATAAAATATCAAATAAAATTAGATTAGGATGCCTACCTTTTCAAATTCTTTTTCTTGTACCCCTAATTTTTTTAATAGTCTTTCCTTCATCTTTGGGAAAGGCTCACCCTATAAATATATAAATAACAAAAATATATGTGACTAAATATTTGCTTTAAAAAAAAACATCTTTTCATATTTTGCCATACTTACGTGTTTAATTTTAAAGAAAAAGGGAATACCAAATGTTGAAAAAATATCTTTGTGAAAATGTGCAACAGGAACCAACATTTCATCTTCTGCTAAATTTAATTCATCATTTGGGATTTCTTCTATCCTGTATAACTTTGTGCCAGATGTATTTAGATTATCTAAAGGTACATCTTCTCTCGGACCAGGTGAAAGTTTACTAGAATTAATTTCTAATATCCTTAATTTTCCAGATCCGTTTTCTGATAATTCTACTTGTTTTTTAGCTTCTTCTAGCAATGTTGCTACTGTTCCATTTTTATTAGGATAAAGAATAATTTCCTTCTCTTCTTTAAGAGATGGACCAACCCATATACATTTGAACTGCTTTTTGTTTTCAAGTTCATTTACTCTAATACTAAGCTGCTGATAATATAACTTTTTCGCTTTAGGTTTACAATAAGAAACTAAATCTTTCAATGAACCTTCAAATGTGCATTTTAATGGATGTCCAGGTGAATCTTTATAACTGCAAATATAATAAATAGTATTATGCACATAACATAATATAATAGATATATATAAAATTGCATAAAATTATATATTCTTACGTTTGACATTTAAAGAATTGTAGAAGATAAGGATCTGTACCAAGTCTCTGTGCCACAGCTTTTGCCATTTGGTCATATGTCATTCTTAATGAAAGTTCCATGGTAAAACCAGTATCATTAGGAATTGTTTTATCACAAAATGTAACTTCTACTCTATGAAATAGATCTCTGAAATATAATAAAAATTTTCACATAAAGTTTTTTTGTATAAGTATCAATTTTAGTTCTTTGTAAAAATATTAACTTACTTGAAGTATTCTCTACATGTTGGAAGCTCATACATTTGATTGTCGCCTTCTTTTTGAAAAACAATTATATCTCCATCCATTAATTCCTCAAGAACTTTCTCCAATGGCTCTGTTAAATTGTCTATCTTTTCTACCAAGTTTGGCTTGATTTCTTCATAGAGAGCCAATTCTGTATCAGGTGGAAAACCAGCTCTTTCATTTAAGATTGGTATAAGTTCCTCTGCACAAAAACATAATAACATTTTTCATTGTTGCAAAGATAAAAAATTTGAATTAAAAACTATATATTAATATTTAATTAAAGCGTTTCCAAAGGATCTACAAATAATGCTATAATGGAATAGTTATAAACTATATAAATTTTCTCCCTTGAATCTTTGACACAACATTATACTAAAAAATCAAATTAAGTAAAGAAAATTATTTAAAATAGAAAATTATTTAAAATAGAACTTACGGACTTTAGCTGTGACAGGCATATAATGATGTCCACAATAATGAATCTTCTTATTCTTGGGATCATACAATTTAAAAAATAACAAAACATCAGTGTCTTTATCGAAAGGTGGTAATGCTGTCAGGTCAGAATCTGGGGGAACAAGTTCAACAAACACATTCCAAACATTCGGATTCTCTGCGCATTGGTAAATTGATTTTTGGAGATCATTTTCTAATTCAATTGGCATTGGTCTACAAGTTTGGTTTGAACGTACATTCAACGGCCATAAACGAATTTGTTCTATTGGATATTTCTGCAGAAGAAAAATCCCATCAAATTAGTTATTTATAACAATTTTTTAATTTGATAGAATAGTTATTTCACTCTTAAATACAGTTTCTTTAATCACCTACCGTGTTCGTAAATGATCACAATATAATATGTAACGAATTAGCAGCACATATTATGAAGTCACACCAATATTTCAGTATGAAATAATTTAAAATATCGATAAAATAAAATATCGATACTAGCATTTTAATGATGAGAGTAATAGCATGAAAAATTTGTCAACACTTACCAAGCTATCACTCAGCAATTCGAGAAACTCGTGCAAGGTACACTGCTTACGTACGCGAAATACACGATACAAAGCATGCTCTGGATCATACAAGTCATTCCCTTGGTGACCGTCAAAATTATCCTCAAGAAGGACGTTGACGGTTATATACAAGTATGCTTCTGTTCTTTCCTTTCTTCGTATTTGTTCCAGCCTCTTCTCCTCTTGCAGCCTCTCCACCAGCTAGACCAACAAAATTAAAATTATCCATATGTGTACTAAATTCATCTCATTGGTAATTTTTCTTCATCTGTCTTCTAAAATTTAAACTTTTAGAAAAGCAGCGTACTTGTATCATGCTTTTGAGATTCGAGAACAGATAGTATTCGAAACATCAAAAGAATGAATTTTGTTTTGTCCTTTATATAATTTTAATTTTGTTCATCTGCCGCAATACAAACTACTAAGTCAAACAATTACACAATGAAAATTATTCAGCTGTGAATGATGGTTTTATGTAACACACTTCAAATTAATGTAGATAATTAATGTAGACAATTAAAAAATATCTAAAATATTAGTAAATTTTTACACAGAGATGATGCTTTAATGAATGTTTTAATAGCTGATTAAACGAAATCTATTAAATGTTCATTTTCGTTTTGACTATTGAACTTTGGTTGGTTGAAATATAAAACACAATTTTATATTATATATTTCTTTGAAACTAAGAATTATATAATATTAATAATCAGTATCTCAGATCATCATACCTGTGTGCTATAAATACATATCAAAACTGTGACCATCATTAATGCCAAATAATAATAAAAATGTAATGTATAACTATAGTAGCGTGGAGATGCTTCACATTTTGAATTATTGTTATACAGATTTTTTAAATAATTACACAGCTACATTTTTAAGAAATAAAAAATAAAAACGATAATAAATTAACTAATATAATCTTTAATGTTCAAAATTCTCTAATATTTAGTAATTTATTCTATATCTTCTCATTTCTTTTATGTCTAAAATAAAGAATAATATATATAGGTATTTTATAATTATTATGGAATATTCACTTTGTTCATGAGGCATTGAATTTTTTCTATTTATTAATATGTAACAACAAATAAATAGATAGCATCTGTTGATGATCGTACTGACTATGAACATTGACAAAATTTAATGAATTAACGACTCGATTAATTGATTCAAACCTCATTATAAGGTTCAATATTCTAATTTTATTATTAACGTTGATTCAAAGTGTTAATTCATGAAAATCATAAATTTGATAATATAAATCACATTTCACCTCACTCACTAAACGATCTTCATTAAATAACAAATACACCGTAGAAGACGTATTAAGGAAGAAGCAGACATTAATAAATCCTACTTATTGTTCATTTTTTCTTTTTTCCATAGCATTATCTATTTCATGAGTCAAAACTCATTATTTTAAATCAGATTTTGAATAATTTCATTCTAATTATTCAATTAATCTCACTCTATTAACTAATAAGTCTTTCTTGCCTGTATTTTTGTTATAATTATTCACACATTTTCAACCTATTCTGCGATATGTCTGTGCATTTGTTACCCAAAGCTTTAGAATACTACAATACAATTATTTTTTTAGGTGTAATATCATACAATATTTATTACAATAAACATTTCAAAACGATTCTAAGGCTCATCATGATAATAGCCTAATAATCAGATTTTATGTCAACCCGATTTCAATTTTTGTATAGTACCTGAAGTGCAACGCGTACATTAATTATAGCTGTTCAACCTTCAGTCAACTAATATACAATTAATATAAAATTTTTAAGTAACAAAAAAATAAATTAAAAGAATCAACAAAGATTTCATTTTTACATGACTCAATCGTCCATACAAAAAAAATCCTCTGTCAAAAAGGTAAAAATACTTTCATTTGAATAAAACAAATCTCTATATAACACTAATTAATAAAAATCTACTGATATTTTTGATAATTGCAATGCAATATTTTGTATCGATCAACTGTCATATTCAAACGAAACATCTTATCAATTTGATATTATAATGTAATGAATTACTTTTTTTTCTTTCATTTTTTAAATATATAATAAATATCAGCAAAGTAATGGGCGCGTAACACTTTAAGTCACATAAGTGTGACATATTACATGCAACATGTCATACCTGAAAATGGACACAATGTATACAATATCAACATTTGGTGATACAACAGCCTGTAGCTGATAACGCTATAAATTTCTGGTTATTAAAAAATATTAAGAGAAATTTTATAACAAATATTTGAAAATATATATATGTATGTATAGGTGCTAAAAAAAATATTAATTTATTAAATTTAATTTGTAGATATTATTTTCTGATTAATTTACATATCCAAAATATTGAATCTATTCAAATACGTTCCTATGTTATTAAACTCATTTCATCTTTGTATTTAACTTGATGTAATGCTTTATGAATTTGATGATTTTATATGCTATGAGCTAATTAGCTCAAAACATATTTAAGAAATAGGAAATTTTTTTGGAAAAGAATTCAACCAATTTACAACTCTTTTCACTTTTTTAAAAATCATGAATATAGAGATTTGGATTTCGAGAATTTTGCGTGCACGGACGAAGAGTCGTAGTCTCTGTATGTGAGTCTTTGATTGTGTCAGTCGCGTCTTTGTCACGTTCAAGGTCGCTCAACTCCTGGGAAAGCTCTCTTTGTAGGACGTTTCTGACCTCTTGAGGTATATCCTCTTCCTTGACTTCTTGTAAGACATTTTCCAACTCAGAGTCCCTTATGTATACCAACATATAGGCGTTCGTGCAATGTTTCACAGCTATAGACATATCCTCGTCTTGACCGCCATAATTGTGTTCAATAGCTTCTTGTTTTGTACACCTTGAGACGACATCATCATCGAATTTGCACCACTGTTTTAAGATTGAGTATATATAATCAAGTATATATAATATTTACTTAAAATTATCACTTAAAATTATATAAGTAAAGAACGAAATTATGTTTAAAAAAATATATACAATTATCCTTAATTAAATTAAAATAGTTAAATAATATAACATTTAAAAATGTCTATTTTAATTTATACATAATTCTAAATATGATGTATATCTTCTTATACTTGTGAAATACTGAAGTAAAAGATGCACATACTTTTCCATCACCAGCTGGATTGATAAATACAACATAATGTCCACCATGATTATCGCCACTGTGAACTAAGACTGCATGCAACGTGTAATCTGCACTTGTTGCTTCTTTATTTTGCAAATATTTGCCAAGACTTATTTTTTCATAGAATTCAAACCTTAATAAAATTAATATATATAGCCGTAAAGATCAAAAAGATTACAAAAATAAATATATAATGAGTTTATAATTTTGTTATGTTACTTCTTACCTATCATTAAATTTCACAGAACAATCTGTAACCGGATCATATTGAAATCGCATTAAATGTAAATGCAACACTGGTGGGAAGGATGAAAAAATAACACCCTTTTCTGCCTCTTGTAATCCATTTTCTCCCGCATCATATTTATTATCACCATCCAGACTTTCAGTACTCACATAATCATTAAACGACTCATAAACTAAAGTTAATTTTTATATAAAATAAAATTTTATATATGAACACAAAATATGAAATTTTTATGATATTTAATAAGAAACATTTCTTCATGTACTTACTATTTTTCTTTCCTTTTATATTTAACTGTATGTCATAGAAAGTTTCAACTCTAGTTGATTTATAATCAATATTTTTACATTTGATAAATGATACCATCTTTCCTTCAAATAATTTTGGCACTGTACCCTCTACACATGTACCTTTCATTTTACTTTCCAACTTATCTAAAAGCTAAAACAATTATGAGCAGAGATTTTTAATTTTGAAGGCTAAACGATTATTGTTAAGAATATTATTGTTAAGAATATTATAAATAATAGTAAGTACAGTAATATAATAGTAAGTAACTTCTTACCACTCGTAAAAATTCTTGTACATCATGTTGCATGAAAGAATCCAATGTTTCCCAACCAAAACTTTTTGTTAACTTTTTTGTACCTACTGGTTTATCAGAAAATTGTAATTCATGAAATACCCTTTGTAAAGCCAAAGCAACACTTTTGCTAGAATCATCACTTTCTGTTGGCATTTTATAAACTGCTTTACGTAACTAGAAACAAAAAATAAATATCTAAATATTTACACTACATGAAAATTTTGAGATCTAAGAGAGAAAATTTTAAATAATAAATGTTTGAATTTGAAAAATACACATCTTAATACAAATTAGAATTATATTTAGTTTTCAAATTTTTAAATGTTTAAAATAAGTTTATTAATCTACCTGGTTCGTAAAATACAAAGTTTGAAGCAAAGAATTCATATAGCATGTAGCACCTTGATTTTTTAAACCTACAAATCCTGTATGTTTTTTACTATCCCAACTGACACCATGTGGAGCATCAGCCATAACGTGAACCTATTTTTAAAAAATAAATATTACAAATTACAGATGTATGTTTACAAGAAATATTTGTAAAATAAATGAATAACCTAAATCTAACTTAAAAAAATTGAAATATAGATTAAGAAAAAAATTGAAAATCTCTTTAAATTTTTAATTAAAAGATAGCTTTCTGTAAAATTAGTAAATAATTTAAATTTTTTATATAAAATTAAACAAAACAATGCCCTATTTTTTTATTTAAAAAACCTAATATTACTAACCTCAAGTGTAATAGAATCATCTTTGATAAAACCTTTTTCAGGATCCAGGACATCCTGCCATGTCATAAAGTGACTAAATCCCCAATCATTTTCTTTACTATAGAAGAGATGTTGAATTTCTAAAAGAAGAATTCATATACTTAAGTATATGTAAGAACCATAATATTTAAAAGTTATAATATAGAAGATGTAACAAATTAAATTAAAAATTAAATGAAATGAACTATCTTTGTAAAAATAAAATATTGATATATAAAAATATACTAACTTCTATTAAATGGTTCCTGTCCTTCTTTACAAGAAAGTAATCGAAGATCTGCAACTGCATAACAACTCCACGATGATTCGCTTTCTCCATTACATTGTAAGAAAAAACCAAGAGACTTTTGAGGGCCTCTATCTTGTGTTTGACTTGACCTAGGCATTATCATTATTTTCCATGGTAAGTTACGAACATAACATGGTGGAGATAACTGAGTTTCCTTCATTTTAGAAAGATTTTCCACTGTATAACGAAATGTGGCCTCTGATCTTGCTTCGTCTAATTAAAAAAATATGAGATCTATAATTAATCTATAACTTTAGAAAATATATATTTAGAAATAATACTGTTTAAATTATATTTTATATTATCAAGTTTGTATTATTGTAATAGAAAATTAGTACTCTAATTCTTAAACGTCAATAAAATAAATTAAAAAAATGTTCCTACCTTCCTCCATTTCTTGATCTTGAACTATACAAGCTAATTCTGATTCTCCATTCATAGGACTAGTATCATTGCCATCTCCTCCACCATCATTTGGTGTTTCTAGAAGGTTAAGATATTATTGTAAAATTCTTAAAAATTGCTTTTTGAAAAAAAGATTTTCATAATTTTAGAAATAGATTACATTAATTATATTGTATAAAATACATTTTACAATGAATTATATACTATTTTATACATGTTATATAAATTTTTAACACTAGTATTTTTGTACATTTTCAACATTATGAAAAGAATGTTATATCTTTCAGCTGTTTGAATTGTAGATTACCTACAACATTATATAAAAATAAGAAATTTACTCAATGTTTTATTATAATCTTCAAAAAAATGATTTATAGAAATATCCATGTAGTAATTTATACAATTAACTTGATGAAAATGCTATGTCAAATTTCAACCATTGTGACATAATTAAAACAAATGAATATTTTCATCAAAAGAAAAACTACTTATGATCATATATTTATAAATTGTTGAAAAAAGTACATGAACATTCAGTAATATAGTATTAAATGTTTAAATTTATTTAGGTGTATTTACACACACCTAAATAAATTAAATTATAAATAAATTAAATTATTAACATACAAAAAATATTTGAAATACATCTAAAAATATATTAAAGATTTTATTTATGTTAATATAATCTATATCATACTTTGATGTATTTATACATATATAGGTATACATTATAATGTATATTACAATGTATATTACATCCATATTCTTTTGTGTTCATATTTCTAATAAAAATTTTAATAAAACGTTAACATATAAATCATTTTGAATGTATAAAGCGCATGACTATGCAACAAACCAATCATGCAGTATAATATAGCTAAAACTATTTGAAACATTAAATTATCAAATTACCAAAACTACGTAAATATATCTTTTTGTTATCTTTAAATCAAATATAGTTTTCGTTATTCTAAGCTTTGTTTAAGGCCATTTTTAACAAAAAAACACGTACACGCATTGAAAAAAAAAATTCACTGTAAAATGTTCGTATTGATAGTTTGAAATATTTTCTATAACCTTCAAAGCGAAAATCAACACGTACGAGACCAATCGGAAGCTACAAACATTTTTACAAAGCGAAACAGATGGACGTGAATCGTACCTCCCTCCTGTGTGTCCATTTCCTCGACTTCATTAACCTGAACCGGTGCCAGGTTGAGCTGTTTAAGATTTTCCTGATCGTTAACGTGGTTCATCGCAATGCCGATATTGATGGTCGTCTTGATTGCGCCGGGAACCTCGGAGGCGGCTTCCGCCGTCGAGGTTACTTCTGAAGTTAATTTAACTGGTATAACTGCAAATGAGTTTCGAGCAAAAATTGACTGATGCCGTTCGATGAACTGATTATTTTCGTCAGGGACGGATGATCTTTGCTCGAGCAAATTTTGCTGATGTAGTTGCTCGATTCCAATCGCAACCGAACTCGCGTCACTACTACGACTTGAGAACGACGTCCTTTTGCCACACGACGGTGATTGATATTTACTTGCGATGAGCCCAATTTCTGCGGCTATCAAGTGCCCCCGCTTTTTCGGGGGACGCCCACAGCATATATTCCACCCTTGCGCGATATCTTCGTTATTTCTACGTTGTCCCTGCTCTTGTCGCCACGACTATTTCTTTTCTTGTATCCGTAACACCTATCCTCCTCGCACTTTTCACTTTGTACTCCCTCGCTCTTTCTCGACCGATCCGAGAAACGGTTTCCGCACCGCGGGACCGGCGCGCTACTAATCGTCAAACTTACGTACTTTTTGCGAACCACGGCTCCACTATGTTTCGACTTTAATATTTGGTCCAGCCTCTGCCAACGATCGCCCGTTCGACCGAATCTTTCCAACAGCGCTTCCAGCTTTTTAACCTGAACACCAATACACTCAGCTGATGTTTTCACGGACGAAAACAGGTCGATCTGCTTCGATGATCGTCTTTCAGACCTCTTTTACGCGAAAATAAACAAAATGGCGACGAACCACACTGTTCTACTGCCTGCCTATCTGTCTGCATGCAATTCGTACAGGTCACGAAATTTTCATCAATCTGTAGATAACGCACTCAATGCTACTTCTCGTCCCGTCAACGCGGCAAATTCAAATAGCCACGTTATAAACGAATTAAAACGTTACGCGTTGACATCCAGATTTGGATTTCAGTTCAACGTATATTTCTTTTTTCTTTTTGTTTTTTTGAAAATATCACTATATATTCTTGTTCTTATATATTTAAATTCATCAAATCTAAGAATAATAAATGTATTCTATGATAAATTAAATAGATGTAATGGATTAATAAATAAATTAGCAAAAAATTCTAAACAAATTATTATTACAGAATATTATAAATTGCGCGAACGCAATATTTTACTTTATAACATCGATTATAATATTAATTATTTAACAAAAATAAACTATTTGCAAGAAATGGGCAAAGACAACTATCAGATATCTATGTTAAAAATTGTATGATATTTAATCCGTGTGAACATTTGGCTACATCATACATTTTTTGCACACAACTGTATATTCACCTTGCGTATGAATTTTAAATATCGCGCGCTGAAAATTTAATTCGGAAATTTTGCTTGCTTGTATTTTAAAAAGGAAATTCTAATTTACGAGATACGACTTTTAATAAGTAACTTCAGTAATTTAAAATAGAATAAAATGGAAATGATTATTATTGTCATATAACACAGTTAACCTACATTTCCGTATTTTATACGACTGCTTTTACTTATTTAATTACAAAACTAATATAACTAATTGAATTAATTTTAATAGCTTTAAAGTATATGTTTATTGTTTTTCAATAAACATTTCTTTTTGGATGTATATACTGATTTCGTACGAATATTATAAAAATATAGTTTCATTTGTTTATTGCTGCAATTCACAAAAATTACAATATTATAATTTTATGTCATTGTATTAAATTTAAAATATGTCTATATACATTGTAACATGAAAAACACATTTAACATTAGAAAATTCTGTCATTAGATTTAATATTATAAATTATATAAAAAGAAATATTATAAAAATAATAATACGACATAACACACCAAGAATATAATTTTTGAATTCTTCCAATTTTATGGAATTCCATAGATATATTTCGGGAGATAAAGCATATTTAACAAAGTAGTTTTATAACAGATATTTATTCCTATATATTAAAAATTTATAATTTCAAAGTATAAGCTAATTATGCATTATTTATGAAATGTTATATAGTTGTATAATTTATTACATTTATCATGCTTTTATTTATATATATATGTACGTTATTAAATGAAAACAATTTTTTATGTTAACATTACTTTTTATGATCATAATAGGAATATCATTGACTTCATAGTTTACAATGTCAACTACATAAGTACTTACATGAAATACACATTGTCTAAATAATAATTTGAAAAATTATTTTATATAAAAATACTTACACAAAGTAATAAATTTTAAAAAATATTTTTACATCATTTAAATACAGATTGTTATAATCACAAATTTATTACAGCAATAAACAAATTATAGAAAACGTAAATTATTGTAATCTATAAAAATAAAGTTAAATAATAAATAATAAATATAAATAAAATAATAAATCGTAAAAATTAAATCGTAATCGTAAAATTGTAATCATAGCCTAAGAGTGTACAATTTAAGTTTATTAAATAAAAGAAAATTATTTATATAAAAAATATAAATACATATATATGTAAACAAACAATCCTAAAAAAAAATCAACAAATTCATGATAAAAAATAAATAAAATGAACAAAAAATATATACAGTATCAAAATAACTCTTCTGTGATAAATTACATTATAATTAAATAAATATAAATAATAATTCTTCCAGTCAATGTTAAAAAAAAAAGATATATATATAATATTAGTATAAACTAATTTATTAATCTATAATATACTATAATATATTAGTATAAACGATCAAAAACATGTTTTAATTAGTTTTTCTTATATTTATATTTTTCACAAACAGTGAAAATAAATAATTTGCTAAATTGATTTATTAATAGCTATACAAAAGCTTTATTATCATAAACCTGTAAATATTGATGTTTAATAATATATTAAATCATAAAAATTTTATATACTGCTTGAAAGTTATGAAGAAATGAGGATTCCAGAGTAATTAGTTAATATTAGAATAAATAAATAAAATATAAAATTCATTAAGTGCTTTTTTGTATTTTTTAAATTAAATAATATCTTTAAATATAAAATATTTTTTTGTACATATTGAAGCTTTTAAAACATGTTAATACTAATCAAGGATTTTTTAAATATATAATTTATATCAATTCTATTTTTCTATATTAGTTTGTAGTTAACACTTATTTTCTATTTAATATTATTATGAATATATGCATATAATTCTTAAATAATGTATTACATAAAACACAAACTCTTATATTAATACATTATTGTACATTATTTTTTAGCATGAATAATTAAACATGGTACTTGCAATATACACGCAACAAAATGATCACAGTTATATGACAATTATACCTCACTCTTAGTATATTTTATTACTAAATAAATATAATTATGATAATAATAGTTATGCTATGTTGTATATTAAAAATAGTTACTATTTTACAAGCACCAAATTTTGGACATTTTTTTATTTTAAATATCCATGAATTGTAAATTGAAAATCTTGTTTCAAAATGTATTTTCAATATTTATAAATGATGTACAAAGCATTTTTTACTTTTATTTGATATTGGAAAATAAAATATTAAAAATAACTATTATAAAAATATCATATCATAAAAAATATCAACAAAAGAAATTTAATTTGTTTTAAGCAAAAATAATCAAATGGTTTTAAAAAATAGCATTAATTGCATACACTATAATATAGAATTTTATATTCAATACATTATTTATTAAAACAACTTATTATATTTAACAATAAATGATGAAATTTTTTGGTTCAGATATATAATAATAATATGATTCTGAGTTTTCACATATTAATTATTATCAGCATTTATTTAAATATTTGCAATAAATTAATTATAAGCGAAAGCACTTATATAAGCGAAACTTTTTTAAACTTTAATTTGGTTTTAAATTGGATACAATGTATGGTCCCAATAAATAAACTATAAAATTATTATATTATAAATTATAACATCAACAAACAAAATAAGTTGTCTTTTAACTACTACTATTTTTGTAATTTAATACATTTTAGGCTTTATATATTTCAATATGTAATTGTTTAAAATAAAGATTATTGTTGAATATTCTTATGATAATCTGCAAATAAAATTTATAAACTAATGAAATAGCAGTAAAATTTACACGCAAAGAACCTGTCTAAAAACTTGTCTTTTATAAATGTTTTAAATTTGAAAATAATGGAGCATCTCTTTCTTTTTTCTATTCCTTTTTTTATTTTTTAGAACTGGCACATATACCTACGATATCTAGCATTTATATTGCTAGTTACAAGAATGGGAAACCTATTTTATTTTGGCTAGATGTTACAAAGTGCGCATTGTACAGTAACATATTCTATAAACTGTACAAAAAAACGATATTTGTTATTCATATAAAAAAGTTATGAACAGTTACAAATTTGTTATATATATAGAACATACAAAAAAAGAAGTGACATTAATTGTAAGAATTGCAATAACTATGATTTCATATTTTGGCATTAAAAATTAGAACGAATAATGCTCATGTTATATAAATTTTTCAATATGAAATTTTTTCTTCAATGAAATTTATATTACCTATAATTATTGAATTGAACATACTTTTGAAGTTCCATGAGAGTCATCCATAGCAGCTGCTCGTCTTTTTATGCCTTCTAGATATATTTCACGATTAAACAAACCTCCTCCAAGAGGAATGCTGTAACAGATATTAATCAAAAACTATATGTTTTAAAAAGGAAATTGAACTTACATGAATGATACATACGTGTCAATACCAGGCCTTATGCTTGTTTTAAAAACACCCCATACAGGTTTATGATCTGAAGTACAAATACTAGGTACAGAGTCATAAACCAAACATTCTATGACTCCATCTTTATGTGAATTAGAATTTTCATAACTAACTCTTCTAATATAACTTCTTGTATGTCCTTTCCCTTTAAAGAGAATTCTATCAGTATATGCAGGTGTGCGTTGTTTACTGCTTGAGTCAAAATTTTGAGTTCCAGGATCATATTTGTACGTAGGAGGAAATGTAATTGGTGCTTCTTCAAAACCACGTAAAACTGCTCCTTCATTAAGAATTGTTTGTAATTGATCTTTATGTAAATTTATAGGTAATTGTTGTGGAAAGCATGTATCTGTAACCCATTGAATAACTTCCTCTCTTGGTTGAGCCAGCCGAAAATTTAAATCACCACACCAAAATACACAGTCAAAATTTTGAGTTACATCTATATAAAAATATAATATTCATTCAGAATTTTTATAATATAATTTTTATAACATAATAAAAGTAATAAACATTTATATGTTCATACCTTTGCTTTTATGTCTAGTAGGTAACTCTTTAGGAAGATCAAGATTTCTAACTATTCTTTTAATATCATTTACCCTTTCTTTAACTTTATCCTGATGTGCAGTTAAATGTGCGGTAACAAATAGAAAACTTGTGCCAAATAACATTAAAGCTATAGCTACTGCTCCTTTTGTTCTGAAAGCAGTTCCTGTTCTGGTTGAAAAACTAGCATCTTCATGGATAGAACAAAACCAAATTAAATCTCTTCTTAAGAAAAGTGCAAGATGTAGTGTCCCTAAACCAGTACTACAAAGAAGTACATGAGAAGGGCCAAGAGTTTCTTGTAAAGCTGCCTCCCATTCACTTCGTTCAGAACAAGATTCTTGCGTTCCAATTGCTAATAAATCTGGAACAGTTTCTATATCTGAAGGTAACATAAAATCATTTAGCTCTTTTGGTGGATTCTGTCCATTCATATTCCATGTACCAATAAAAATTTTCAATTCACGATTTGGTAATACTTTCTCAAGTTCTACTGGTCCAAGTAGTGAATTTGCAGCAATCCTTCCGTGAAGAAAATTTCTATAGAAGAGAAATCATAATGTTTAAAAAAATAAAGATAAATGTGAAGTTAAAATTTTATTACAATTTATAAACCTTTCTCGTGCTTTTTGTGTAGGAATCAGATTAAGAACTTGTGCAGCTAATAATGCTTGTTTTGCCAAACTATCCATAGATGTTCCAGTTGTTTGAGATTGATGACGCTCTTTTTTCTTGGACAATGCATCATGAGATGTAGAACGTGGTTTAAGCTGAACAGGTGCACTTTTTATAGATTCTGGACTTGAATGTCTCATAGAATTTGTTGGTGAATTCCCTACTAAATTATCCACAGATCGCCTATGAATTAGTTTCTGTCTTAAATATGTAGGAACACTTGGAGAAACAGATCCAGAGGATGAATTTTCACCTAGAACATTAAAGTAATATAAAATTATATAGAATAATTTGGAAACTTTTTAGAAAGATATGAAATTCAAATAACACATATGTATTTTAAAATGATATCTTAAAGAAATGAAGTTTACATTAGAAAATAGAATGATGAAGGATATTAGAACTTGTATCTGTAATGAAACTAAATTGATTCAATTGCTAGTTATTGTATTATTCATGCTGACATAGGTATTCAGAAATTAGCAGGAATATCTGTGAGTCATTTAAAATAGATGTTTCAACTAAATATTTTGTTCTTTTCTCAAGATAATTATATAATTAAAAATAATATTGGTGGATATAATTACATATAGAATAAAATCAAACTATTTCTTAAATAGAGGAATTTTGTAGAAATATGAATATATGTAGAAATATTATAAAATTTATATTATAAAATTTGTATATTATATACACGATGTAATAAATTTTATAAAAAAATTCAAAATAAATGCCTTAGAGATTTTTAATCTATGTGATTTATGTATATTACATTATTAATAATTCCATAGTTTAAATATTGATATTTTACAAGTGGCTGAAATAATGTAACATTTATATAATAATAAAATAAAAACATTTGAAGAAGCATGAGAATCAAATTTTAAGCAGCAGGTATATTTCATTTGTTTTATTATACCTTTTTTTCCTGGTTTTTCAGTATTGTTAGATTCATGGTATTGAACCATACTGTAAACATCAAAAGGATTGTAGAACATCCGTTCCATTTCCAAGAAGAAATAAGTGATATATTTTCCTTTTGTAAAATATTCATCCTTTAAACATTTTTCATTTCTTTCATAATCAATTAAAAGATCATTTTCATCTTCTGACGATTCCTCAAATGAATCTTCTGTTGACTCTGCAGAGAAATCACTATCTTCACTATTTTCATGTGACATTACACTTTTTTCTTTTATTAAAAATTTATGCAATTTTTGTAAATTATTCATAGTGCCAGAATGCGGTATTAAATTTGATATTTGCACAAAAGTAGTATCAGAATGTAACACAATCTTTGAAAAAGAATTAGTACGTTTTGAAGAATCACTTTTATTTCGCAAATATACATCTGTTATGCTATAATTTTGATCTAAAAATGCTATTTTTTTATCTAAATTTCTATCTGAACCATATTTATATTCTTTTTCATCCTTTTCTACACAAATGTTTGTTGCACTAAATGTCTTTCTATTTTTTGGAATATTTGATATATTTGTGCATAAATCAGTAGGACATAAATTATCACTTTTTTTAAAACTTTGAGTTGTATCTGATACATTTTCATGTAGCGTAACTTCATCGTTTTTTAAATATTGGTTGTCACATGAATTTTTAACATTAATTTTATGATTATTATTTTCTGTATTGGCAAAATTCACCTCGGTATTAATATCATGCACCAATTTAAACGTATTTTTTTTTTCACTATTACTACTGTCATGAAATTCTGTATTTAAATTTTTAGTACATTTTTTAAAAGCTTCTCCAAATTTTAAATTTTGTTTTGTTTTCCTTTCTAATTTGCCACTTTTATTTTGTTTAAATATTTTGAATAATTTATTGAGAAAAGAATTTTTCTTTATTTCATTACTTGAATTAGACATGCTTAAAATATGATAGTTAACATAATGCTTGAAATATCTTCTTATATCAAAGATTAAGTATTAACTGACTGTCAGTAAAAACCATATCTTCTTGCGTAAACATAATGAGAGCAATCTTTGCAGGAGTGTGTTGAAAAGTTTAGTGGGGATGTGCAAGGTCACTACCTCATTTAGTCAAATTAGAGAGTTGATAAAAAGTGAAACGTCATAAGGAATGTATTATTTCGTGTTATGTACACTTCAGATCTTTAAATAGTTAATGAATAAAAAAATGATCTAGAGGAAACAATTAAGTAATGATTTATCAATTACTTAAATAATTAGACAATATTCAAGCAAGAATAATTTTTAAATTTACCAACTAAATAAATCATTATGAAAATGGATAAAATTTAAAAAATTTTTAATCTTTAATAAAATTAAATTCTTACCTTCAGTAAATGTACTTTGTCGCTCTTTGCCCATAAAAACACTATTCTTTTCTATAGTTTCTTGGACATTATGTGTGCTTACTACATACATTTCTTCTTTTTCTATCGTTACATCTGTCTGACAATTTCCATTAGCAGAAGCTACTTCAGATTTAACAGATGTATGGCTTAATGTAGTTGGAGATAATCTACTGACAGTCAAACTTTGTGGCGGTGTTCTGCTGCGTTCAGTCATTGCACAGCATAATGAAAGTTTTGTACTAGTGTGAGATCCATGTTGGGAATTTTCTAGTTTAGAATTTTTATTTGAATCGCCATCCTTGTAAGATGTTTCTAAACATCCGACTTTTGTCTTTTTATTCATAAGCATACGGCAAAGAGACTTTTTTTTTTGTTTTGACTTAGGAGAAATATCTGCCTTAGCATTTGTCGCATTAGATACATTAGTTTCTTCGCATTGCTCCATGGTATTTATGATTTTATATTTTGAACACCATGTAATTAATCCACTATCAACGAATAAATATTTATTATTGCATATTTCAAATATATCATTTAAAAAAGTTTAATAAAATCAATCTATCATATATATCACTATTAAATGAATCAAACTATAGGCATTTGTAATTTGTAGTCATTTGGTTGCAATCACTCCTCTTTTAATATAATTTAACGTATAAATAAGAATTTGTTCAATGTCTATGCTCATATGATATAAGTACTTATTTATATATAGTTTTTATATAAACAGTGCAATTATATCAATAATTATAATATATATTTCTATTATATAATATAGACTAGAATCGTAAAGCAAGATGTTTATCTTGTTAACATCTATAGCATTTTATTACGTTAATATATCTTTAGTATATTTCTCATATTTAAAGAAACACATTTAATGTTGTGTTAATAAATAATTGCACTTTAAATATCAATAAATTTAACACTTTCATATTGATTAGTTTGAATAGAATAACTAGAGTGAATGTGTAAATAATACATATTTGTAAGTATACTGTTTAGGATGACTGTTTAGTTTATTGATCTTTTTTCCTTAGGCATAGCATTCATCCCTTTGATGGATATTATTTCATCAGTTATTCGAAGGAACTTGTAGCTGTATATATATTTCGAGTTTATTGTGCTGCAAATCAAATTTCATAAAAAAATATTGTGCTTATCGAAAATTAGAGGTTAATTGGACTCAAATTGTCTATACTCTTTTTTGTATTATTACGAAATTCACTTTGACTTTGAGTCTCACATTGACTATGCATTGACACGTCATTCACGCTAAAATCCATAATAAACCGCATTGTGATTGAAAATACTTGAAGAACGATGAACAACTCTAACTTCCGCCTCCATGTTTAAGCGAAAAGTTAAATAAAACGTGTGACATGTATGTCGTATTTTCAAAAATTCAGTATCGACTTTGTCGTAATCGTCATTTTATTGACAAATCGTTCCTATTTTCAACAAAACTGCCACAAATCCAAATACTGTATCTCTTCACCGCTTCGGCGCTGATTTCTGAACTTGCGCAGCTGTCAATTAAGCAGACGATAATATTATCACATTATGATATTTTATATAAAACTCCATATTTTCCTAATCAAATAACTCGCTCCGAATAATATGTTAGGAAAAAAAATTGTCGATATTTGGAAAAAATGTGCAATGACCAGTTAGAAAAATGATATTCCTTAGCTAATTAAAAGTATAACTGTCAAAACGAGCAGACGACATTTATTGACGCCACACTGTTGGCAGAAGCCATTTGTGACGCAATACACTTCATGCACTTCGTCGTCACGTATCATGTAAATACACGGGTATATATAAGTATTTGGTTGGCTAGTACCATTTGGCGGGTTGCGTCACATATAATGTTTGTTTACGTGATGATAAGTGTACGTTTAAAGAAATACAAATATATGTACAATTGAATTATACTAAAAGATGGATATACGCCCAATTGCAATAATCATTCGATTGTAAACAGAAAAACTTTGTAACTTTCTATTTTACAAATTGATCACGTAAATAACATGTTAATTAAACGTAACCAAATAATTGTTCGTGAACAAACAGTGGTGTAAAATGCATATTTAACTTTCGATGATTGCGGTTATTGCGAAAATACAACGTAAATTACAGAAATTTATGTTTTTGTTAAAGAAGATTCTAGAAAGCGCAGAAGCAACACTATACATATGTATGTAGGGGATAAATGTTGCGTATAAGTATATTGCCGCTTTTTCTAAACGTTCGTTCAATGTTGCTGCAATTAACAAAAGCAATGTAACATAGATTCATTTATTATTAAGACTTGACTATGGTGAATTCATTACGGAGCTAGACATTGGATACGAAGCATTTTAACAAATACACAGAGTAATAAAAGAAATGCCACGGCATGGTAAGTATTAATGCTGCACTTAATTGTGGCCGCAATAATGTTTATTAGACCTAGCGATACGAATAATAATAAATTTAATAAATACCACGTTTTTATAAAAATCTTTTAAACATAATAAATATCAAGAAAAGAAACGGTAATTAACGTACAAAGAAAAAGCAATAACAAACGAATAATTTTTCAATATATTTCTGAATTTATGGTGTATATTGAATTTTTAAACATACGAACGATAATTTTTTACTTTCGGCAATAACTTAGAGTTTTATTTGTTTTTAAGTTACGAATCAACGATCTATAGTTTTTCAAGTAAAGTACACACACGCGCTTCTACATAGCGTGTTGGATATATGGGCAGAATTCTAATGAAAGAAAATTTCGCGAATAGAAATCGCGAATATGGGCGGTGTTAAGGGTGGCTCTCAGTTTTCAATCATTTTTGACGACGTTACCAATAACTGTAACGGCGTCGACGATCAATTCAATCATCCATAGAGAATGAATTTAAACATGAAATGTTTAACGTTCAAATGACTAGTCACATCTCAAATTCTATTTCATGAACAATTACGAAAGATACAAGTAACACTTTTTTCACGCCTTGACAAATAGATGTATCTCAACGATGATACTAGTACCAAAAGTGCAATACTTTTAATAACATTTTCCTTTTCATAAACAAATTCAAAATGCGTACGTTGTGTGTTTCGTACGATCTCGTTACGGTTCAATATAGAATACATTCAGAGAAATACAAATTGACAAGCAAAAAATGAGATGAATCTCTAAATTGAAATTTTTATTACTAAATATTCGGATAGTAGTAGAAAAAAAAAAATAGTAGTGAGAATTCGGGGGGAAAAAAGATTGTGCATACATGAGGAAGGATGTGTACTGTGAACGAACGAGCGAAAAGGGTTAATGAAAGAGGAAGTAAGACAGAAACGTAATTCGCGCCGCCACCGCAAGGTGTCAGCATTGCATGCGGCTCGCTCGCTAGCGGCCACCATTGTTGAAATTCTGCTTTGGTTGATGCCCCGACGATTTTTTGACCGAAAATCGTAAATTCGCCAGCCCCTGGCAAGGGCCCTGTGCGGAAGGTGCGTATCCCATGGTAATCCTTAGACCATGGCAAAGCCATAGCTACCGTCGGTGGCGTGTTTCGCGATAAAAAGAGGCCCACCAGGGAAAGTCAGTGAAATCGAGTGTGCCCATCGATTTACGCGAAAGAAAGAGGCACCCATGTCCGTGTCTCACGTCTTGTCGGGGTGTTGGTGTTGTGTGCGCTGCCTGAATTGTGCATGGTACGTGCGTGCATGCGTGCCGGTACAATGCAACGCGTCTGTCCCTCGCGCACCATGCAATCTGTCGATCTTAGATTCTGTTGCCCGAAATGAGAAGGAACGTTCGATTGCCCAAGTGTCCCCCAGAGTGTGAGATATTTGGGCGTCAGACACCGATCGTGCGAATAACTTGGAAATCCTGAATTATACGTAGGCGCACGTTGTTCCGCGTGTCGGCAACACGCGACTCGCGCGTTATCGACGATACTGCCCAGGTGTGCGGAAACACCGATGTTGCATCTTTACCTCGGTGTTTTGCGTTGTGTCTTTCGTTGTGTGCGTGTGCAAGTATCCACACGGGGGTTAAACGTCTCTTCTTTCCACGGTTCGCACGTTGTGCGTGCATAGGCGTGTGCACACGCGAACGCACGTCATTCATATATGTATGCATACGTGCGCGCCCCTCAGTATTTTCCATGGATGTATATGCACGGCTTGATTAACTTGGTGCTCTTTTCGTGTATATGCGTGCTCTGGTGCGGTACGTTTACGCACACTGCGTGCCATTTGGAATTCACGAAAAAGTACATGAACTGTATCCTGCTACCACGCCGTTGGATCAGCAAATCGGAATATACAGTGTTACACTTGCATGCCCATCGCTCCCCTCGTGGGGAGTAACGTCGGCTACGGGGAACACAGTGTTATTTTTTTTTCCTCCTATCGTGTCCGTGTGTAAAACCGTTAGAATTTTACGCTGATGTTGTTGTGACAGTTTCCTTTAAAAATACGTATTGTTCCAAATCGAACGATGAAAAATTTCCGAAATGGACAAGGCTTGATGCTTTTTGAATTGTTTCGTCCATCAACGTTGACACCCTGACAACTATACTGTGATTTTTCATCATTACGTATTTAAAATCCGTTAACAAATCGAATCGTTTGTATAAATTTTGTACTTTCCTTTTTTTTTATTTGGTTAAAATATTGTGGAGGGATAGTTTCAATTATGCACTGGAATTATGCTGTTGTTAGACAAGTAAACATTTTTCGTCCTTTAAATTATTCTTGTGAACTTTCCATATTGGTATTACAGTATTATTATAATGCTATATTGTAATGCAAATATAAAATCATTGAAATGTAATATTCATATATAACATTGAATATGGTAAAAATATAAGACAAACACTATTTAAAGATGTAAACAGTATTTACAACTACAAAACTTACGCTGTTATAAAGAGAATTTACGCTTTGGGAAATGTATGAATTATAGAAATATTTTAGAAAAGATAGAAAAGAGTTTTTTTCTTTTTATTTAAAATCAAATAAATTCGTATCTAAATATTTAAATTTGGTATGTTTCACAAATTTATGTGTTGTATACATTCATAAAAAAGTCTATGTTTATCAGTATCAATGTTATTGATACATTTTACTTTTATGTCAGTTATTAATTTAACAAGAAATAAAAATTCAGTTATTTATTAATATAAGGAACTGGATGCTTAAAAGATTTTTTATATAATTTCAAAAATTAAAAATGTTTATGATCGCACATTACATGAAAAAACAATCAAAACTTTTGGTTTACAAACTTTGGTTAATTTATTAAATAAACACCAACATTATCAATGTATATGTAATATTAATCAGCATTATGGTGTGAATTGTCAAAATACAAGGATTATTTCCAACAATGGCAAACATAATTTTTGGCTTCTTTTTGACATATAATATATCACAAGAATAGAAAAAAAGAATAGTCATATTATTACACGACTTTCCTTTATTTAATTTTTTAAATTCATTTGATAATGAGACAAACTGTGAATGATCGTTAATTCTCGATAAAAATGTTTGTTTACAGGGCCATTTATACTTGAAGTTGCGCCAAAATGGGCGCTATCAAATAATTTCATGCAGTGGGATTACATACAAGAGTTGGTAGCACATGGTGGTGTGCCTGATGTATATGATTTACATCACAAGGAAGAAAATATAGGTGTGTCTGATGTATATGATTTATGTCACAAAGAAGAAAATATAGCTGTGTCTGATTTAGATTTAACTTATGTTAATCAATTCATAAATTTCATACAACCAACAAACAATAACAAGATCGCAAACTCTAATATTGAGAAGAAAACAGTTGATAAATGTTTCTCAGAATTTTCAGAACTTGTGTTTAAAAATCACAAGGAAAGTTATAGTACCTGTCACACTGACGATAATAAAATAAAACCAACTAATTTATTGAATACTAACAAAGTCATAGCCACTTATTCATTTTGCAAAAACAAAAGTGAAAATTTATCCGATACAAAGAAGGAAATTGATCATCATCATAAAATTGATTGTATTCCCTGCTTGTCAGAACAACCAAATATACAAAATATTACACAGTACAAGACTTTCAAGTCTAAAAGTTTGGGGCAGTATAAAGATACTTACAGTCTTTTTTGTGTTTCTGAGGAAGACGAGCCACTTAATTTAGTAAAAAAACAAAAAGATAACAAAGGTTGTTGTAAGAAACAAAGTGAAGATAAAAAGAAACTGTGCAATTTTACTGATACAAAAGTATCTTTAAAAAACTGTGCCATTTCAGATCAAATAAATAATTCCTGTAACATAGAGAATTGCTACAACACAAAGTACAAGGAAATAGACTATGGTTTATTAAAATTCTCAGATTTAGATGATTTATCTCCTAAATTAAAAACTGATAACACATTATTTAAAGCTCCAAAACATAAATTATGTAAAAATTTAGAAACAAAGTTAAATTGTGTACCAAATAAATACTTAGCGCAAGAAAGTATTCTTTCTGTTGATAAATATTTGAACAATAAAACTTCAGTGCTTCTATATGAGAAGAAGAATACAGATCTTTCTTTTGTACATTCATCTCTGAATGTCAAGGATACAAATATTAAAAGTGAATCTTATTCAGACGAACAGATAAATAAGTCAAAGAACGCATATTTTATAAGCACTTGCAAACCAATATTAAGTAATTGGGAGGATTTCGAAATGTCAGGACAATATCCAGGTCATAGCCGACCTCCGGTGGGCACACCTCCACCTCAGACAGTTTGGAATCATCTCACAATGGCACAGAGTCAAGGTAATATAAATGTTTAACATTTTTGCTATAAAATTATATATAAATATTATTTTTTTATATTGAAAATATTTGTTTTAGTTTCAGGCTTAAACATTCATCCAACAGCCTTATCAGGTGCTGCATTGAGTCCAGCAGGATTTTACACACATCCATCTATGGCAAGAGCATCTCATATAACATCACAACTTACACCACAACTTGCACATACTCAAGCACCTCCAACATGGCATACACCAACTGTTCCATCAAAAACTGTTACGCCAGCCAATACACCAGGGAATCCTTTGTTTAGTTTACAAATGCTGGTAGATAATAGGCAGAACCAAAGTCAGTATAGAAACTCACCAGGTTCACAAAGTACACTAGATTTATCGTCTACTTCTGAAATTATTCCTGAGAATTATTCTCGAGTACCTCAAGACATCCCAATAAGTTTGACTGCAAGGAATGTTGATAAGGGTAGCAGAAATGGAAATATTATTTCTCCCCCAATACCTTTGAATGGAGAAACTTCATCTGATAGTGGAATTAGTTCTTCAGTTCCAACACCCAATTCTGTTAGTGAACCAGTTTCACTTTCAACTAAAGAAGTTACAACACCTAAAATAACAGTAAAAAACTTTGAAAGCAATTTAAAAGGAGTGGCAAATGTTCATGATAAAATTAAGGAAATGAATGTAGATAATTTTGCGCAAAAAGTTATAAACTTACCACCTAGTGTAACAATTGAAAGGGTAGTGCCGGAAAAGAAAGAACCTGAAGTTACAAAAAATAAAGATACATTAAGTGTTATTGCACAAGTACCAAGAAATGTTTTACCTGTTATTGTAAATCTTACCTCTAGAATGGATAAAGATGTAACAGATAGTCCGAAAAGAGAATCATCTTCAGAACGAGATCGAAAAATCGAAGAAACGAATGTAAGATCACCTAAAAATTTACCAAAAAGAGGCAAAAAAGGTGTGGATTCTTTGTTAGAGAAATTAGAAGGTGGAAACAAAAAACTTGGCAGTGCAGAAAATATTGGATCTGTTATAGTAATGCCAGTAGAAGAAAAAGATACATCGAGTGTTAAAAGTATGTCTCCTGATAGACAAAAATCTAAATCTCCAAATAGGGAAGATGAAGTAGTATCTCCGGCATTCAGTAACGATGATTCTAACGATAATACTAAACAACGCAGAAAAAGAAAACTAGAGAAACCTGTACGACTTAGTAAAGACTCTAAAACAGAAGTAGAGGATATGGAATTAGAACCTACAGAGCCAACAGAACCTAGAACAGGTGAATCAATACCAGAAGAAGCAGCAAATGCAACTCCAATTGTAAAATTAGAAGATAACATTGATACAACAGAACAACAGAGAATATCTGAAAAAGCTGAAGAAAGTGTAGAAGAAACAAGTGAAGAAAATCAACCTATTAGAAGGCGGAGAAGTAGTGAAAGTACACCTCCTAGTTCGACACCATCGAATCAGAGGGTTAGAAGAAAATCTAGCGATGATGCTGCTGAATTTTCAAAAGTAACAAGTCCAAAACCTGTAAATAATACAAATCCGTTTAATGAAGTTGAATCAGAACTCGAAAAAATGTTTGCCGGTATTGTTGAGACAGAGACAGATGTCAAGAAGGAAGAATCAAAATCAGATCTTACAGAATCTGAACTTCAGGCCGGCAGCACAACTAAAGTCGAAAATTTAGAAAATAATGTATTGCACGCAAAAGAAA